TTGGCTGACCTTGAGCTGACCACTAACTGATTTTCGTGGCAAAGCATGGTTTTGGATATAGACCTTTTTCGAGTCGAGAAAGGGGGCAACCCAGATCTAATCAGGGAAAACGAACGGAAAAGATTCCGAGATGTTCAGAGGGTTACAAACGTTGTCGAATGTGATGAAAGTTGGCGTAAAGCTCGTTTCATGGGCGATTTGTACAATAAGATCAAGAACTCATGCAGTAAGGTCATTGCCAAGAAGTATAAGGTTTGTTCAAATATGCATACTTACTTTCTCAGGCCAAAGAAAGTTCGGGTTCTTCACCGGAAGGACTACTTGACCAATTGCACAGTGATTTGAGCTCGGTTACGGAGGAAAGTCTATCGGTAACTAATTTATACATTCGGTCGATTTAAATAGCCTTTATCGGTAGAGGACCTCAAGAAATTGTCATCGATGTTGGATGGAGATATCAAGAAAAATTTAGAGCAGATATCAGAGCTAGAGGCACTTCGGCAGTCATATTTGTACGAGGTTGCAAACATGTTGCATCCGGATGTGCCCATCAGCGATAACGAGGTGAGTGTCAACTGGGAAGTGCTGACGTGATTATCATTGTTATTACTGCCCATGACGAGCAGCTTTATCTGTCGTTTAAGGATGTTTGTTCTGGCGACGGTCTAGACCCACGTGGTCAACATGTTTCATCTATTAATCCTAGTACCAGAAGTGTAAATTCCGTCTAAACAAAATGTTCCAACGTAAGCCCTTCGATTTCACCGCGGAGGCTTTACAGGCTACTTGGTGGAAATTCCAACCACTTATATGGTTGAAGGGGGCTGCTCTGTCGAACGGAAGCCACTGGGCCGTCATTGAGTATGAATTTTGTATCTGAATTAAACTCGGAAGCATTACTATGCAAACTTCGAATGACGGCAGGGCATTCAAGAAAAAAACAATTTTCATCCGCAAGTTCATCAGGAGAAAACATGTTTGTAAGGGCAAACGTGCGGAAGAAAGATTTTTTATTACGCGAAAGTGAATACAGTTAGAGGGGTAAATCCCATTGTACAAGAGTATACTGTATATAAGACGGTAAGGGAAACATTCAAGATAGATTCTGCGTTTAAAAGGAGGAATGTTGATTGTTGGAGGGGAAACCGAAAGAGTGAGTGTTCCACCATTATGCCGTTCTTGTGAAAAAGGATGATAGGAAGTTAGAAGTGCAACACCTGAGGATAATCACTTGAAATGGGTGGCTAACCGCCTGTAAACGGGATCTACGGGGGAGCAAAAGTGGGGAAGGGCAGAAGCGGAAAGTTAAACAGAGCGAAATCCAAAGTGTTATCGATAGAATAAGGATAAAGTAGCGACTGACCGCCGCTGAGCTAGTTACTGCAAGTTAGATGTTAGGGCCGGGTCGTTAATAAGATGAATGGCCTTACGTTGAACCCCATAAAGAAAAGAGGGAAGTGGATTTAGCTCCACCCCACACAACTGCAATATTCAGGTAGGGCGAATCTGAGGTTTGCAAAGGAAGAGAATGTGAATGCCTGTGCAGGAAGGTCTGGCGCGGAATTAAAAGCCGATGTTGTGCGTAGCGCGGGAGATACGTAGACCAATATATGCTGGACATAAGAGAGATGAGGAAAGTCCCAATAGATTACATAATTCTACCTCTAAACCATGTCATGGTCTGACCGCCGCGACGTTTCGGCCTTGTTCAGCATGTGCTAAAAGAGCACGTAACAGTAGACGACTGGTAGCCATACACAAAACGTGACCAAGCCACCGGAAGCGGTGTAGAACGATTACTTCTCCTAGAGGACGACTATCCGCACCCAACACATGACTACGAACCTCGTTATTACTCACCAGATGTTCCCACCAGATACGAGCACGGAGACATCGGTGGTCCAATACAGAAATTCAATTGGCATCTTCCGCTCGGAGAGGCCAGGTCTCGTAACCGTAAAGCAGAGCGCTACGAACCTCGACGAAGTACATCCTTTTCGTTAGTAACACCTGGATGTCACGGCGGCGCCACAGGTTTCACAGGTTGACGAAGGCTGTTCTAGCTTTTGCTATTCGTGATATGATCTCCCCAACACCACCACTATCTGCGATCAAGCTCCCGAGGTATTTAAAGCTCTCGACTACTTCCAGCTGATCACCGCAGAGGGTGATTGCAGGCTCAGACTCCTACCAGTCTTGAACAAGCGCTTTGCACTTGGATGGTGCAAAGCGCATATCATACCTGGATACCTCTATCGCCACGCGATTCAAAACGTATTGTACTGTCCGTTTATTGTCACTCGAAAAGGCGATACCATCGGCATGTTTTAAGTCAAGGACTCTGTTCTCTGGGAGGAGTTCAACTCCACCGTTTGAAAATCGGACAGAGCTTCCTGTAGAACATCCTCTATGACAAAGGCTGGAGGAAATCGCGTGGAGGTAAACAGATGACGTGGAGACGAGGCATGAAGAATTGCACAGAGCCATTAAGTATAGTAGGCGTCTCTCGCCTTCCAGGTTGGGGTCCGAAAGACTCCACAACTGGTTGGTTGGAGACATTAAAGGATATGGTAGCGAACCGACGGCAGTTGCGTTCTTGTCGTTTCTTAGCAGGCCAGAATGTTTGACGCGGCACGTATGCAGAGTTGGAGTGTGCACTGTGTTGACCATGGTGGTTCACCTTCTTCCCTCAAAGTAGGTCCAATCCCTGTCCACCCTAAATTTTACCACTCACCTTATATGCATTGCGAGTTTAGCAGCGATCAGTGAAGTTCGCTTGACTGTATTTCGCTGTATGATGATGAGAATGGCAAAGTTGAAAAGGAATGGGGATATAGGGCAGCCTTATCGAACTCCACTGGTGAAGGCGAAGGGTGACGAAAGCTGGCCATAGGCCCTAATCTGACCCGAGTTATGACAATACAACTCTTTGAGGATCGATACATACTTCTCTGGTACTCCATTCCTCAACAGACAGTTCCCTAATGCGACCCCATCGACAGTCGATGGCCGCACGTATGTCTAAGAATACAATGATCATTGGTCTTGGGGTACTAAAGATTCCGTAGCTGATCGGCCTACCTCTTCTGTTGTACTCCGAATATTTCGCTGATTGATGATCTACTACAAGACAGCTGGTAGAGATACTAAAGATAACCAGATGAGTCAGACTAAAAAAAACCGACACCCTTCTTGACCGCAGTTCTGGCCTCGAGTGGCAGTGGAGAGTAATTCATAGAGTTCACCGTAAAGAAAACAACTAGGCTTCTGTATTCTTTAAATCTGTGTAATTCATCAAATCTACATAGACTGCTACCCGCCTTGATACTGCCACTAAGCAGTTTATTTTCTTAATGTTGTTCAGTAAGTTGAATGAGAGCTCCATAAAGACAGGTAGCCTTACGGACGATGATAAGACGGGGGTGGTGTTTTCAACTTCAATTTCTTTTTTTACAACTATTAACCATACACTTTTGTGCGCCGGTTTTGGTTGCTGCTTCAAGGCGTCCCATTCGGCTGAAGGGGTGAACGGATGATTGAAATGTTCAAACCAGTCTCAGAGTGAAAAAAAAGAAAATACATGAAGACTAAGGTTGCAAGTAAATTGATTTGCACAAGCTCCACTGTTTACCACAGCCATATCATTCAATGTCTGTAGCCATGGATGACGCCGATCCCTATGCTCCCATCCAGGAAGCCTAACATGGCCTATGTGAGCAAGTTTCCTGCTCAGGGCTTTTATACCCTCAATTCATGTCGTAGTTTGATCACCGTACCTCAGCCACCGGGACCAAGTTTCTGCGCCGTATAGCAGAACTGGCCGAACTGCCGCGGCATACACCCGACCCTTCACAGACAACCGAATGTCGTGACGACGCCACAGATGTCTCAATTTGGCAACTGCCAACCGAGCCTTCTGTATGCGAGCAGACACTTCATCCGTGATGCGTCCACCGGGGGTGAGATGCAGCTACATAAATAACAACTTATCCACTTGCTCTATTACTTCCCCAGTTAGAGTGAGGCTCTGTGCTTGACTCACTCAGTCGTGTAGTAACGTTTTGCACTTTGAAGGTGCAAAACGCTACACTGGCATTTAAGCTGTCCAAAAAAGCTTGCACCCTACCTGCATCTTCACTTAGTAGCACAATGTCGTCTGCATACTCCAGATCAGACAGTCTGCCAATTGGGAGTAAATCGATGCCACTTTCCTCGCTCGAGGATAGGGCTGGTTCCATAATCAAATATATAACAAAGTTGAATAGAAAAGGAGAGAGGGCAACCCTGACGAATACCACTTTCTGTGGTGAACTCGGGCGAAAAGGTGCCGTAAGCCCGGACTCGACTTCAGCTATGAGTATAAATGGATCGTAATATTGAAATAAATTTCTCGGGTATACCCTTCAGGGAAAGACAGCACCAGAGTTTAGAGCGGTCGACAGACTGATTTTCAAGCTTATAGTGGCTGCGTTTAAACACCAGGTTTGTAGGCATATATCATTCACCTGTTGTTCAATATCCATTGTTGTTTATCGCTGATATCTCACTTGACTGTTTGCACATTTAGGACAATAACCTTGTCATCCGAACCTACGGATCCAGCGGCGAAAGAAAACAATATTCACACGTGGACCTCGTGGTCATGGTGGATGGTTTTGATGGCGAACGCGGCACTTCGGTCGCTGGAGGTCGCGGTTACTTTCTAAAGGTAAGTTACCTGCGTATTCTTGTTTAATGAACCTTGTAAGGGTCGTTGTGATTCCAGCATATTAACGATGATAACTATAAGGTCTCTTCTGTTGCTAATCTCTCAATGATGCTGTTTCACGCAACGACGTCGTTAACCTCCACGGTATTAGTTTAGTTCCGATACTAAAAACTGTTGACTTCTGTGATACTTCGCCACCTGACACTTTCAAGGGAGATGGATATCCTCGAACAGCCGGATTCCGACCAGGTCGCTGTTGCATCCGCCAAATCCTCACTCTGCATCAAGTCCTCGAGTTTCTTCACAAACATCGTCGGCCAACAGTTGCAATGTTCCTTGACCTAAAAGGAGCCTTCGACTCAGTTGATCATGCACCCCTAATGCGTTCACTCCTTCGCAAAGGAATGCCGCAGAAGTATGTGAACATACTGAGTTCACTCTACTCACATACCTCTGGTAGCGTAGGGGTCTACGGCGAGCTGAGTAGGTCGTTCATAACTAGCGGTGGTGTTCGTGAAGAGTGCCTTCTTTCGCCATTCTTGTTTAATTTCGTTATTGATGAAATTCTCTAGAACGCACTTAATGGTCTCCAAAATGTTGGTATTGAATGGGCATCTGGAGAAAAACTGTGGGATTTAGAGTACGCTGACGACATCGTTTGATTGTTGAAATATATGGAGGATGCACAAAGAGCACTTGCTAGATTAGGAAGTTCTGTCACTCCGTTTGGCATGTGCTTTGCACCATCAAAGTACAAAGTGATGCTGCAAGATTGGGAGTCGTCTACTCCTGCTCTGATGCTTAATGGTCAACAATTAGCTATAGTGGAATGTTTCTCCTACTTAGGTAATTGCGTGACGAATGACATTAACATAGTTGATGAAGTAACCGCCCACATTTCCAAGGCTGGACCGGCTTACGCAGGACTGAAACGTCTTCGGTGCAGATGCAATGTTTCGCTGATGATGTGCAGTCAGTTCTGCTTTGTGGATAAAGAAGCGATTGCCTGATGTTGAACTATTGACCGTAAAGTACACTTTAGGAACGAGTCGTTGATCGGATGAATGGTCTTAAGTTGAACTCAATAAAGAAGAAACAGAGAGCTGAACGAAGCTCCTCTTCACATATGACTTTTGTAATCAAGTGAAGGGCAAATCTGAATTTCATAAAGCGATAGGACGTGATTAGCGGTGAAGGGATGTCTGGCGCGGAGTAGGAAGCCGATTTTGCGCTCAGCGTAGAGAGGTAAGTAAATATACGGTGACCATGAAAGAAATAAAGATAAATATAGTTGCAATGAGTTGCGTGGATCTTTGGAGGGCATAACGTTTGAATTTAACGTTATTGAGGAGGAGCATAATTGAAGTTTAAGAGAAATAAGCATAAGGAAGGTTTTACTGGCCTTCAAGAGAACATATCTCTGGGAGCCTCAAGCAGAAATGTGACCAAGATAATAATTTAGAGAGCATCTGAGAGAGAAGTGGTTATCGCTTATACTGGAGTTGGCGGCGTATAAAGAGGAATAGGAAAAAGAAAGATATAGTTTGGTTACATCGGCGAACACTCGAGTGGAATTGGAAGTCTCAGAACAAAGGACATCAGAAAAAAGGAAGGGAAAGTACAGATCCTTTGGGGGAAGGGCACCAGTGTTCACAAACACGGGACGAGACATGGTCTCACATACTTGGGCATAGTTTCTGCGGTCGTCTAGATAGCTCGGTGTTCGTGGCTCAAGTTTCTAAGGAAATCCAAACACCATCATCGAACAGCAAAGCACAGTGAGGTGAACTTCACGGATCGCTGCCAAACTCGCAATGCATGCAAAATTAGTGAGAATATGCAAGGTGGACAGGGATTGGGCTGTTTTAAGGGAGAGGAAAAGGAAGTCAACATCTATGATGAACATCCAGTACACAGTCTAACTGCGCTCATATACCTTTTCAAGTATTTTGCTCCGGCACCGACCTACTGCCTCGTCATCGACTGATGTTCGAAGTAAGTACCTCGGGGACTTATCCAGTGCACTCAGTTGGCTTATAGAATTAGGATGCTGAATTCGTGTCTCCAATGCGCAATATATCGATTGTTACGGATCCTATTGCACGCGCCAGACACGCTTGTTGACCTACTTGCATCAGAGTCTTCAGGTTGAAGGCCCCAGATTCAGTGCTATTTAGCAACGACCTTTGGCGAGCTGCAACCAACTTGTTTGAGGGACTGTTACAGGTCGGAAGAGAAGACAACATAAGAGTTTGGGGTACAGAAGATGAAGAATTATAGTTTGTGTAGTTTATTCAGCGGAATTCCGTGCCAGACACGGTCGATGTGAATCAAATTGCTCTCCGTTCTTCGCTTTCTCATCCTTTCCAAGATCAGGACTATGGATAGCTCGTCTCTCAATATCCAATCATTGAGTTGTATTCATTGATGGCAGTTGTAACCATCTTTTCTTCAAGTCTTCCGAAACCTACCTTATGTCTATTTCTCCTTGATGCGAATTGTTCTATCTCGTTATTCCTTTGCTCAAAATTGCTTGCTTAGAAACTTAACGTCCGTTTGCTTGCTTCTGGAGTTACGCGCGAGATTGCTTTTTATTTCCAAGACAAAATTTTTCCATGCACCGTTCATTATGAAAAGCCTTACATATTTCCCCCTCTCTGGATGAGATCAGTCACCGTATAGGTCAGCAGTTACCAATCCCCCAACTTCTTAATTACCGTCACTAGCCTACTGTTGGACATTTTTTTACACACTTTAGTGCGATGACCAGCGGACGGGGTAAACCTCATAGTCACGAGGATCTGCTGTTCAGTCATGGATACCGGTAAACTGAGCCTCGGGACTTCAAGTAGCACTAACCACATAAGACTCCGATAAGTTAGGTGTGATATTGAACCGGACGACAGCAAAGCTACTTATCTATCCCTTTTTTCTACCACTTTGGTTCTTTTCCTGTCCCATCTCCACGTATCTCTCCTCGATTGGTGTACATTTACTGGACTGTACTCACTAAACGACTTGTTTTTTTTACTGTCCCAATTGGTGATGACACTCAGGTCGTAAATGAGTAAAGCATTAACAGACAGTCGATCTTGAGTGGTGGTGGCAGTGGAGCCAGGAGGACTATTGTTAGAAAAATAGTGCATGGTGGTATCATCCGCAAAACATGGGGAAAATTAGGATTTCGGGATAAAAAATCGTCAATGAGGGTCAGGCTGTGATTGAGAGATAACATGGACCCATGTGGGACGTCGAAGTTACCGGGAATTGCTCGCGAAATGAAACCATCAACACGAATTAAGATTAAACAGTTACCAAAGAACTTCGTATCCCAACGAAGAAACACGGGGAGAGTTTGAAATTAGGAAGTATTACCGGGAGTCGCTCACGCAATTATCGGTTGAATTACCTGGAGATATCGGGGGAGATCAGATACAACTTGCCATGGTAATCGATGACGTAGTAGATTCGTGGTTGCGGAACCCATATTGGCCGTCCCTGAGATGTTTGTGTCGTTCCAAATAACAACGACGTTCTTTTATAAGCACAGTTGAGCAGTGGTTTAGTCGCTGGCACTGGCGTGCTTTGTACCCTATGGCCCGAAGTTCGAGACCCCCATCGCCACCCAACTTTGGTGGTAGACAGTTCTGCTGCCCTCCGGGTTCAATACCACACCCAACTTAGAGGGGCCTTATGTGGTTCGCCGCTCCAAGTGCCGGGGCTTAGGTTACCGGTTTCCATGACGGAGCAGCAGGTTTTCGTGACAGAGTTTCCCCCGTCTGCTATTCACCACACAAGTGTATATAATAAAAAACACTAGTTCCATGAGGCGGTAATTGCTAGGATCACGTGATATGCTTTACTCGTGCGCCTGGAATGTGTGAACAATTTTCTAGCATCTGGGAGACATCGTGCGGAACAGATTGAAAAAAAAGAAAACGGAGGTTACGACGAGCTGTGACTAAGTTTTGATCACTATTGGTGGAATGCCATCTAGTCCGAGCGGTTTGAGTGTATCTGATGAACGTGATGCTAGGCTGGTATTCCTGATTGTGGTTTTTAGACAATACGTGGGATCATGATATGTAGTATTTAAAGGAAGGGTAGTGGATGGAGATAGGGCCGACTTGGAAACAAAACGGGGGTTAAAAACCCCAGGGTTTTGGGAAGGACTGCGGACTAAATCACCAGAATCCTTGTTAACTGGGGGAAGGACAATAGATACCAGCAAACTGTTTGGAAAATGATTAGAACGATCTCTAACTAAATGATAGTTGGCGGGTTTGTTGACTTTCTCAAGCATTGGTCCTGGGCTTGCACATAAAGGCGGTGACAAGGGGGATTTGAGGACAAACGCCAAACTAAGAAATCTTTTTTTTCCTAAGAATGAGCATTCCTAAACACTACAGCCGTTTCCATCATGCACATACCTCCCTCTCTAAGCATTCACAATCAAAATGAACTGGTCGGGATAAAAAGCACAATCGCGCCAGGGAAAGAATGCCAGGAAGTCACGGAAGGTATGCCAATCCGCAGGCGTTTAACTCTCGGATGTGCGGCGAGAAGCAAATTTTTGGAGTCCATGAAATGTGGCAGTTAAAGGTGATAAGACAAGAAGGGTACACTCCTCTGTATGACCGGGAACTCAAATGGGGAATGTGGCCAGTTGTGGAAGGCTGTTTTCTACGGCAAATGCTCCCACCTTGCAGCTTGTGGTAGTGGTTGTCTGAGTGTGCTAACCAGCATTCTAACCTGATAAACAGTGAACTCAGTAATGCCATTGCTGTTGGTTAGCAGTCATATCCTTCAGTGTCCACAACCAACCAGTTTGTCTTTTGGACTCCAGCCTGGAAGACAGGAAGCATCTACTCCACTTAAATGCGATGTGCATTTCTTCATGTCACATCTCTATATCAGGTGTTGATTTCTACGTGCACAAAGCGATCTGACAGCCAGTCATCTGGGGATGTTGGGGACTAGTTGAATTGATATTGCTGGGCTGTTGTTTGAGACAATTATACAGAATTAGGGTGGTAGTTGCACAGTGGTTTAGTCGATGTCATCAGCGTGCTTTGTACCCTACGGCCCGAAGTTCGAGCCCCACCACCGCCACCCAATTTTGGTGGTAGACAGTTCTGCTGCCCTCCGGGTTCAATACCACACCTAACCTAGCGGGGCCTTATGTGGTTCGCCGCTCCAAGTGCCGGGACTTAGGTTTGCCGGTTACCATCAATGCATAGCAGGTCTTCGTGGCTATGAGTTCCACCCCTCCTCCTTTCACCGCATACTGGTGTGTAGTAAAGAGAGGAATGTCTGCTTGAATTCCTGTGGACCGTTATCCTTCAACCTTGTACTCGCTACTGTGGAGTAGTCACCAGAGAGACGAAACAGTTATTCGGTGCACTTTTTCGCCCATTGCAAATAAATATCCATCAAACTTTCTCATTTCGTTTTCAAAATAGGGTCCGCTGGTTTTCCTCGAACAAGCAATTATCCAACTGGCTTTGCATATGTTACACGACCGGGGTTTCACACCACTGTACACACCGTTCTTCATGCGCAAAGATGCTATGCAAGCGGTGGCGCAGCTGAGTCAGTTTGATGAAGAGTTGTACAAAGTGAGTCAGTTAAAATTTTTCTCCCACTTTTTCTCACTTTCCATTGCCGCTCATTTGTCTGGAACGCGAGTAATTCTTGCACGATCATTTTCTAAAAGGTGACTGGTCGTCGTGAGGCTATTGGACCGGTGGCTGAGAAACCAAGTTCTGACCTGGCGTTGGAAGAGGAGGAAAAATATTTGATTGCCACATCCGAGCAACCGATCGCTGCGTTCCATCGCAACGAATGGTTAGCCACCGATCAACTCCCCATTCGTTACGCTGGCTTGTCTACATGTTTTCGGCAGGAAGTCGGAAGCCATGGTCGTGATACTCGAGGCATATTCCGTGTACATCAGTTTGAAAAGGCAAGTTTCTCATGTGCCACTAACTGATGCTGTTCATTCCATTTTTCAAACTTTTTTTGTTCAATTTTGGATTCAGAACAAGTGTCTTTACACTAAGCGAAATCAAGGACAGTGGTTTATGAAATCCATTTATTCAACTGAAAGCTCAGGATGCTCCTAGGGGCATCTCATATTGGAGGTGAATGAAGGGGATTATGACGAAATTCGTATGATACTATGAATTCATCCAATTGATTTTAGTTGTGTATCCATGGATAATAGTTTTAGCTCACTGTAACGCACATGACCCACTCTTCACGGCTTTGGGTTGATACAGATTCTGTTCGAAATTCATTTAATTTTCTTTCGTTTTAATCGTGATTCTGCGTACGAGAGCATAGTCATCCAAAACCTATATTAGACGAATCTGGTGGGGCAACCGGACGAACAATGCTGAGGTTAGGCACAGAGTTTTGGGTATCCGCGGTCGCCCATTGGAGCAAGTGGTCGACCTCCATAGATTACGTCGGTTGGGACGTGTTACGCATGTCACCAGATAGGTTGCCACGACGAGCGATGTTCACCGAGGCAAGCAGTGTGTGGAAGAAAGTCATGGGTGGTCAAGCTAAGACCTGGCACGAGGGCATGAAAACCCTGACCAGTAGTCTGGTTCATATGGGTCCTGTTAGGTTCCTTGGCTGGGAACCTTGGAATGATTGAGCCCGATGGTTAGAGACACTGAATGATATGGCTGGGTGTCGTGATCAGTGGCGTTCTTGTATCTTCTCAGTTTATTTGCAATCTTAGACCACTGAACTTCTCCATTTTCTGTTCGACTCTACCTTCACTTCTCCTGTCTTCTCCTATTATTCATCTAAATGGGCAGCCAAAAGACAGCAACCAAAACCGGCTCACAAAAGTGCATGGTTCGCGGTTGTTCAAACTGAGATTGAAATTACTCATTAGACCGAACATATCGCGCCTGTTTTCGATAGCCACGATCTGCTGTCTTAACTTTCGCGCTCCACCATTTCTTGCTATTATTTCTCATAACTTTGACAATCTGCCTATTAAGCGAACCGCTTGATTCTTTTTACCCTAAATTACGGTGGAATGAACGACAACAAGAGTAAATATCACAGTAATGAGGACCTATTATTCTCTGGTAGTAACCGACGAACATAGTACTGAAACTTGGAGTGGGAAACCACCACCTCGAGAAATGGAGCCATTGAACGTTGATTGTTGCCACTTGGACGGAGGGCACAGGCTTTCGCAATCGAGGAACACTTCCCTCCACAGTTCCCCCGATGGCCTGGCCACGTTTCGCGTTTGTCTGTCCA